GCAACATGGAATCTATTTGTTAAATGTGCGGCCTCAAAGGATATGGTTTTTCAGCCGTTTTGGTCATAAAGAGGGTATCGATTGGTCATGAATAGGGTATGGTTTTTGCTCTCTAGTATTAAATTGGATATGTTTTTTAGAAGAAGCTACATTTTCATCATTATCGGTAAGACCATCAACAAAAGCCCTTCGTGACACTTTTAACATCGGTTTGAACTAAGTATAAGACAGGTCTGAAACAGGTTATTGATTTAGGGTTTAGTCATAAATAGGGTATCAAATTTTTGGTCAGATCATAAATAGGGTAGGGAAAATCTAGAATAGTCTTGTAACAGACCATTTTCTGACTAGCTCCTCAGAACTTCGAGCTAGTAACGTAAAATAACAGCTGGCAGACCTCGCATGAAGACCAGATGAAAATGGTATGATCATGATAAGAAAGATGAAGTTTTCATCTCAGTGTAGAGGGCCTGCCATGGGTTATTTAGGGGACAAGGGATATTTTTTGGATTGATTTGATGGAACAAGAGATACTTAGTCTATTAATTGGAACTGTCAGTGGCAAAAATGTCAGGGAACAGTGTTGCCAGAAAGTAGATTATACAAATTTTTTAAGGGATCAAGGGGACCATTGTACCAACAACTCTGTAGCACATTAATGCAAGGTATAAGGCACATCTGGAATGCAGATTGTTTAAGGTTGACAGTAGCCACCAGATATTAACTAATTGGTATGGTTGAATTAAGTAGTGGTCAGTATTATCCACCCTTTCAAGAATTGGGACCAGCAAGCCAAATACATGTATTACAGTAAAGGTGCACTTTCACTGTGCTGCAGACATAAAACAAGGTGGTGTTTGGCTTGGAGGGGTTGTGATTCAACTCCTCTGTTATATAACATAACATGTATAACATAAAACTATATTTTTTCCTCAGATTTTTAGTAGCCAAAACTAGGCTAGTATCTCTGAGAAAATTAAAATCAAAATAAAGTAACACTATGTATATTAAATAAAATAATTATTAACTTAGAAGAAATACATATAATACAATCATGCATCTGCATGCATCTGTATGTTTTGTGTGATCCAGATTACTTTCACTTATTTACATATTACTGTACATCAAAATAATAGTGGATCGTCATGTTTTCTAGCATAATTTGAGTCAGTCTTGCTTACCTTTCACCCCACAATTTACTGTTATATGTTAATGTACATGTAACTTGAAACTGCTTGTGGAGGCTGGTGAAGAGTTTTGGTTTGTCTGCTTTTGATTGCTTCTTCTACTCTTACAGCACATGTACGTTAAAAAACTTAATAATTATGTTTTTCATCTTCAGGGAAACACCAAGGATTATGATATGCTGATTCAAAAACTTGCTGACCCTGATATCAAGGTATATTTTGTTCAATAATAACTTTGATTATCCAAACTCTAGTTGGGACATGTGATGCATGCAACTAATCAATACATTTTTTCTTTGGATTTATGGCTAGAAACATGATTGTAGTTAATTCCCAATTTCGAAACCACTGTAGATAAAAGTCCAGAAAATGGAGGGTTTTTTTCTTTCTTAAATTGGGGGTCCTGACGCTGAGTTGGGCTGTGCTATTTTCATTTGTTGACAAAATTCCAGTCATAACCATCAAGTCGCTAGTCCATCACAAAGTTTCAGTATCAAATGTTGTCTTTACAGTGTGGCGTTAAGTACTAAACTTTAATGAACACAAAGGTCCAACGGTACAACAAGCACATGGCGGACCTGATCGCAAAATGCGTAGATTTGACATAATAACATCTAAACGAGGTACAGACATGCCCAGACTCTTATAGGCGGGAGTACAAATATACTGCATGTGGCAAACAAGGTGCTAGACCCATACGACTGAGAACATCATTTGAATCACTAGTAGGCTTCTAAAAACTGTGAAGGTGCAAGGAAATTTCATGGCCATTTTAATTTTTTTCTATAGTGTAAACATCTCCAGTATTTTGTATTTTAGAGGTCCCAGGTGTTTTATGCTACATGTTTGCCTAATTAGTTTCTAGATCAGTTATTGTTCTGAAGCTGGAGTGGGGTGAGACACTTTTAATTGGCATGATGTACATCGTATTTAGCACACAGCAGACTGCAGATCAAGCATTCTTGATTTGAGCCCTGGCCAGAATGACAAGACTAGAACATTTTAAGAAATGTGTGAAGCTTATCAGTAATTGGAATTTCCAGAATTAAAGTTGACACATTTCTTTAAATCTTTTGGTCTTAAAGAACCCCACCTCCCAGGAAATTCCAATCCCTTCTGTGGGGGTGTATGGATATTTTCTGGTACTGCACAATGCAGACTTAAAATGGTGTTCCTTATAGTCAGTGAGAAGTCGTAATACAGTATAATGTGACATTATTTTATTCAAGATCCCGTGGAATAGTAAAAGGAAAAAAAGAGGTGGAAACCCTGGACCATTTCACTGAAAAATAACAGCTGCCAAAAATTTACATTTGGCAGTCGTCCTCTAATTAAACTGTTTTGTTCAGTTTAACCAAATGTTTTCTGGACATTAAATTTCTACAATGTTCTTCAATACAATTAACATGCTATTTTCAGGAGATGCACTTGCAGAGATATCTGATGGCACTAACAAGTTGTTCAGCTTCTCTGACAAAGCAATATGATACACTAGTTGGCACAGCCCTGGTAAGATAAGGTGCATGTGATTTCAGTCAGCATTGTTTTGCAGATTGATCTGATAATGAACAAGAGTCATATTAAGGAAAAAAACATATTTAATTAAATCCACTTAAAATTAGTCTTGCCATTTCTAAAAAGAAAAGAATGGGAACCCACTTTAACCTGTACACTCTCAGAAGTTCTAAAACATTTTGTATAATCGCAAAAGAAGTACTGAAAACACTTCTTAATTATGTTTATAATTAATAATTACACACCAGGATTTCATCCACAAGTGTGGAAGTTAGCTCCTCTCATGAAGGACTTGCTGTAATAACTACATGAAAATTTACTTTATTCAGATCGCACACCTAGAAATTTTATTTTCCAAAAAAATATATTTTAAAAAATTGCTGTTGATGTGTAAAATATATTTTAGTTAACAAACTTTGTTTAAGTGTCTTAGAAAGTCATATTACCGGTATATATACAATGCACTCTGTGTAGTTGGTGCCTGTGCATAATGTAGTGACATGTATTAGTAATAATTCCTTTTATTTTTAAAAAAAGATTTTTATATGAATATTAACTTTTAAATCATATTGCTAGAATACAAGATGGGCAGTGTGTGGCGACAAGACAGTTGAAGAGTTTATTGAGTTCCTGACAAGTCTTGTATCTGCCCAGACATATTACTTGAGAGCCTGTCTTCGCATGATTGTCAAGCTTTTCCTCCCAGGTAAGATAAAACGTCTACACTAAAACAATAACTGGTAACAATGATATACTCAGTGAATTCATAGTCAAAATACTCTGCTCATTCTGCCCAAGGGAAGTGCTCTGAATAACAGCTAATGCTTGAAATGCCCGCTTCACAAACTCTTTGTGACGTTGTTTTGTCTTTTGTTCGTTTTCTTTTCTCTTTTTTTTTTGATGTATTTCAAGACAATATTCATTGCGCCATTATTAAAGAGTGCAATAAAAATTGAAACCAAACAAATCGTAAGCCTTGGCCAAATGGACTTGCAAGTTGATGCAAGTTGAAAACTTGGGTCTACTTGGGACTCCCTTTGGCCAGGCCTTGCATGCACTTGTGTTGGCTTGCGATGACTAGCACTCACTTTGGTTGAGATCAAACTTGCACGCAAGTCATAAGACTGCAAGTTTTTCACTGTTTGGCCACCAAACCCTAGTCAGCTCAAGTTGGGTGAAGTCCATTTGCTGTTGTAGCAACCTATTAACTAATAAAATACAGGATATAACTAAAGCCTGTAGCCTTGAAATGTTTTCTTGCTACTTTCATGTACTTGAGAGGAAACTGGGGAGTCTGTAAACTTGACCACCCAGTGCAAGTCTCTACACAAGTTCAACTTGCAGCTACAGTACTGGCAACTACTTGCGAGTCCTTTTGGCCAGGACTTTACACACAGGGTTTACCTGTTATATTCTAACAATAAGTTACTAATTTTGTTTATTAAATCATTGCAAATAGGCAAAAATAAGACTTTGTTGATGATAATAATTTATTATCCATAACTACCAGTCATCGGCAGTTATTATCCATTACTACCAGTATTTATAACTTATTTAACACAGGTGTTTCAAAGGACGGACATCTAAAAACAGGGGACTCTGAAGGTATGGAAAGTTACTGTTGATTAAATATTAAGCATGTAGAAAATAGTTTAGAATACTAATGAACAACTGGTCTGACTAAGTTACCTATTCATTTAATATACTCTTAACTAACTTATTTTTAACAAATAAAATATTACTTGCTTGGCCAATGAGCTCAGTGTACATGCATTGTATATAGCATAGATCTTTGTAGGTTTGAGTGAGACATTTGTTATTAAATAATAAAATGTAAGTTGGTAGTGAAAGGATTGTAAGTATTAATAACATTATTATTGATTTAGTCCAGTTGTATATTTTGTAAGTATTAATGTGATGATAGATGTGAATGCAGCCATAACACTACTGGAAAAAGACCTGAAAATTTTTCAGGTATTTTTTCCAGTAGTGTTATGGCTGCAATCGCATCTGTCGTCATGTCTACATTTAATTGCTACTGTTGGACATATATTACTTTGTAAGTATCGTACATGTACATGTGTGTATTGCAAGTGAGTAGTAAAATTGTTCACATGGTAAAGGCTTGTTTCCTTATGACTACTATAATTGATACAGTAAAAGCAATTCCGAGTTTCTGTATGATTACCACAATCTCTAAATACAGCAAGAAAAAATGCCTGAGGTGATGTGGTTGTTACAATCTCTTGAGAGTGGTGTCAATATGATTTCAATGATTGCTATAATCAACCAGATGGAGCTGAAATCTTTCTCAACTGTCGTTTTCATAACGACTGCAACTACAATCACAATCATATAATTGCTGACCACTTTTTCCAGCAATGGTAGCGATCATAGAGCAGCTTTAGTAATATAAGTATTGTAAGTATTGGTAGCACTGTAAGTGTTGTAAGTATTGTCAGTGTTGTAAGTGCTTTTAGTACAGTAATGTGACTAAATTCAACTATTGATAAAAATGAGAAAGAGAAAAAGAGATTTAAAATAGGGAATTTAAACATTGTCATGTACATTTCTGTACAATAGCCTTACAATTATTGATCCATTCCAGCAGATTTAGACAAGGTATTTTGTCATGCTCATGAAGCCCTTCAAGCAGTACTCGAGGTGGTGCCAGCGTAAGTTATTATCAGACTATTATTCATTTCCTTTTAAATTTTCTCCAAACTTTCCTTACACATTTCATGATTCACAAATCCAGTTATTTACACTATAAAATGCCAGTGGCTGGCTATGCTATTGTGATCAGGTATCTTGTGTTTCCTAGTATATTGTGTAATGCAATCACAAATAATACTAAATAAACGTAACTATTTGTTACCTTACAGGGTTGAGGTTCCCTTAAATTNATTTCATCCACAAGTGTGGAAGTTAGCTCCTCTCATGAAGGACTTGCTGTAATAACTACATGAAAATTTACTTTATTCAGATCGCACACCTAGAAATTTTATTTTCCAAAAAAATATATTTTAAAAAATTGCTGTTGATGTGTAAAATATATTTTAGTTAACAAACTTTGTTTAAGTGTCTTAGAAAGTCATATTACCGGTATATATACAATGCACTCTGTGTAGTTGGTGCCTGTGCATAATGTAGTGACATGTATTAGTAATAATTCCTTTTATTTTTAAAAAAAGATTTTTATATGAATATTAACTTTTAAATCATATTGCTAGAATACAAGATGGGCAGTGTGTGGCGACAAGACAGTTGAAGAGTTTATTGAGTTCCTGACAAGTCTTGTATCTGCCCAGACATATTACTTGAGAGCCTGTCTTCGCATGATTGTCAAGCTTTTCCTCCCAGGTAAGATAAAACGTCTACACTAAAACAATAACTGGTAACAATGATATACTCAGTGAATTCATAGTCAAAATACTCTGCTCATTCTGCCCAAGGGAAGTGCTCTGAATAACAGCTAATGCTTGAAATGCCCGCTTCACAAACTCTTTGTGACGTTGTTTTGTCTTTTGTTCGTTTTCTTTTCTCTTTTTTTTTTGATGTATTTCAAGACAATATTCATTGCGCCATTATTAAAGAGTGCAATAAAAATTGAAACCAAACAAATCGTAAGCCTTGGCCAAATGGACTTGCAAGTTGATGCAAGTTGAAAACTTGGGTCTACTTGGGACTCCCTTTGGCCAGGCCTTGCATGCACTTGTGTTGGCTTGCGATGACTAGCACTCACTTTGGTTGAGATCAAACTTGCACGCAAGTCATAAGACTGCAAGTTTTTCACTGTTTGGCCACCAAACCCTAGTCAGCTCAAGTTGGGTGAAGTCCATTTGCTGTTGTAGCAACCTATTAACTAATAAAATACAGGATATAACTAAAGCCTGTAGCCTTGAAATGTTTTCTTGCTACTTTCATGTACTTGAGAGGAAACTGGGGAGTCTGTAAACTTGACCACCCAGTGCAAGTCTCTACACAAGTTCAACTTGCAGCTACAGTACTGGCAACTACTTGCGAGTCCTTTTGGCCAGGACTTTACACACAGGGTTTACCTGTTATATTCTAACAATAAGTTACTAATTTTGTTTATTAAATCATTGCAAATAGGCAAAAATAAGACTTTGTTGATGATAATAATTTATTATCCATAACTACCAGTCATCGGCAGTTATTATCCATTACTACCAGTATTTATAACTTATTTAACACAGGTGTTTCAAAGGACGGACATCTAAAAACAGGGGACTCTGAAGGTATGGAAAGTTACTGTTGATTAAATATTAAGCATGTAGAAAATAGTTTAGAATACTAATGAACAACTGGTCTGACTAAGTTACCTATTCATTTAATATACTCTTAACTAACTTATTTTTAACAAATAAAATATTACTTGCTTGGCCAATGAGCTCAGTGTACATGCATTGTATATAGCATAGATCTTTGTAGGTTTGAGTGAGACATTTGTTATTAAATAATAAAATGTAAGTTGGTAGTGAAAGGATTGTAAGTATTAATAACATTATTATTGATTTAGTCCAGTTGTATATTTTGTAAGTATTAATGTGATGATAGATGTGAATGCAGCCATAACACTACTGGAAAAAGACCTGAAAATTTTTCAGGTATTTTTTCCAGTAGTGTTATGGCTGCAATCGCATCTGTCGTCATGTCTACATTTAATTGCTACTGTTGGACATATATTACTTTGTAAGTATCGTACATGTACATGTGTGTATTGCAAGTGAGTAGTAAAATTGTTCACATGGTAAAGGCTTGTTTCCTTATGACTACTATAATTGATACAGTAAAAGCAATTCCGAGTTTCTGTATGATTACCACAATCTCTAAATACAGCAAGAAAAAATGCCTGAGGTGATGTGGTTGTTACAATCTCTTGAGAGTGGTGTCAATATGATTTCAATGATTGCTATAATCAACCAGATGGAGCTGAAATCTTTCTCAACTGTCGTTTTCATAACGACTGCAACTACAATCACAATCATATAATTGCTGACCACTTTTTCCAGCAATGGTAGCGATCATAGAGCAGCTTTAGTAATATAAGTATTGTAAGTATTGGTAGCACTGTAAGTGTTGTAAGTATTGTCAGTGTTGTAAGTGCTTTTAGTACAGTAATGTGACTAAATTCAACTATTGATAAAAATGAGAAAGAGAAAAAGAGATTTAAAATAGGGAATTTAAACATTGTCATGTACATTTCTGTACAATAGCCTTACAATTATTGATCCATTCCAGCAGATTTAGACAAGGTATTTTGTCATGCTCATGAAGCCCTTCAAGCAGTACTCGAGGTGGTGCCAGCGTAAGTTATTATCAGACTATTATTCATTTCCTTTTAAATTTTCTCCAAACTTTCCTTACACATTTCATGATTCACAAATCCAGTTATTTACACTATAAAATGCCAGTGGCTGGCTATGCTATTGTGATCAGGTATCTTGTGTTTCCTAGTATATTGTGTAATGCAATCACAAATAATACTAAATAAACGTAACTATTTGTTACCTTACAGGGTTGAGGTTCCCTTAAATTAGAAGTCCCGTACATTCTTATAATTAGTTTTTGTGTTTGGACAGATGTATTAAATTATCTTAAGTTAACGTAGGGAGTTTGCTGGTATCCTGACTGCAAAGCACTGTAAGCATACTGTTTACATTTGGTTGTTAAGTAAAATAACCACACTTCTTGACACCTTTAAAAATTATTGTTTCTTGCTTTCTGTAGAGTTCCACAGTTTTTGATCCCTGTGCTGTCAGAAAACTTCCCATACATGAAAAAACCAACAATATTCCAGGTATTTATTATAATATTGACCACAAATGTAAGTTGCTCAGTGGCAAATTTAGGTTTAATAGACAGTAATTTTTTTTTTTTTTGCTTGACAGTAACAAGTCAAAATGTAGACAGTCGAGTACATTATTTTCAGAGTGGACATTTCAGTACAAATTAAAGTGCTAACTTTTTATTATAATAAATAAATTTGTTTTTGGTTCCTTTCTTATATTACAGGCAAGTTATGTAAAAAACCTGCTGCAGATTACAAAATACCTCCCTGACCTCAGATCAAAAATTCTGGAACTGGTTATCCACAATCTTATTACAATTGATGTAAGTGAGTACTTCCTATTTATAACATTGTGTAATACAAACCTTGGACTTTCTGTATAATTTTTCTACAATACCTTGCACTTCTCTCACTCTCAGTTTTTATCAAGCTTGCAGTTTGGTTTCAAAATAGTGTAATTATATCATTCTGTAGCAGACATGGGTCATTAAAGGTGTCCTTGTCCCCTTTTATAACTTAAGTTAATGTTTAATTTCATTGGCAACTAGTTGAAACAAAATCATGCCTAAACCTGATTAAGACAGCATAGATGTTGGCAAAGTTATATTATAGGACAATACAGAGGAGTTAGTGTGAGGCTTGAGTTAGCGAGTGTTCGAGTTATCAGGAGCCAACTGTATTGCTGACTTACCTTGAGTTCTGTGCAAAATGTAGGAATTGCAAACCTTTTGTGTTATTTGAGTATTTTTACATGGTCCCTTACACTATATGTTCTATGGGCATTATTTCTCATGTTCATAATTTTGTTTTTTAAGGTTGAAATTCCTAAGCATGAACTTGAACATAATGAAGCTGCCATTGAAGAAGATCACACGCAGTTTGAAGTAGACATGGTAATTTTAATATTAATAACTTCAGCCCTTTCTCTGGGGTGCCATGGCTTTACTGTCTGAAGGCTGACTTCTTTTAAGATTGCTGATGACTATCAAATATTCTTACATCAAGGATGAAGCCAATATTGCTGTGGAAGCATCAGCAAACCATGATGAAGAGATTTGTATGGAGAATGAAATGGCAGACAAGTTGGACATTCTAATGGAAATTTTGTTCAAGTACATCCATGAAGTCACTCATATCAATGGTAAATTGCCAAGAATTATTTTTTAACAGCCCTAATTTTACTGAAAAAAATTCCTAAGAATTATCAGTTCCAACTATACTCAGGTCTGTCAAAACATTGCAAAGCAGCTATGTAAGGTATCTTGATGTATTATTAGCAGTACATACACTCAGATAATTTCCCAATACTGAAGGGGTAGTAAAAAGTGAGGCTAGCAGTAAGGGAATCTGTAGCAATCAATACACAGACTGTCGATTAACCAGAGGTTTTTTTAGGCCTTCCAATATGTACTTGCTGTTTGATAAAATCTTCTGTCCAAATGTAAATGTAAAAGATTCATAGCTGAGGATATGAAAGGGCGCTCAGGTTCAGTGCATGACCTGACAAATTAATGGAAAACCTCTGATGATTTGGTGAGGCTTCCATCTACTAGTTACTGTGCTATTTATGTGTCAGTGATTATAGTTGAGCCCTGGTAGAACCCTCTACTAGCTGAGGACACATCTACTTACTGCTTACACTACTGCTTCTACATGTACCTTTACAGATTAATTTGTACAACTCCCCCCAACCCTGCTGTTGGGGTTATGGAGTAAAAGATCTTAAATTATTTTGTAGCTAAGTAAAATTGTTGGTTAGCCCACAATAATAAAGATTTTTTTTTTAAATAGATGAATTCATTTAATTTATTTTGTTGAAGCCCTTGGTCTCTTCTTTTTTACGTAAAACATTTCCTGTCTTTCTTTTTAGGAGAACACAGTGTTGATGCTGGTACTGAATTGTTCAACGAGCTTCTGCTGGTAAGTGATGATCACGAAGTTTGTTGCCATGGTTACATCATTGTCCTCTCTTAAAGCACTAACACAGAAAGTTGACACTGGTCTCCAGTTTGTCTGCTTAAATGGAGTTGACTCTGTATTCTTCGTTTTGAAAATTTACTTGCGTATTAAAAGTTATTGATTACTCTTCCCATTTGGCAATGATTTCCTTTACTCAGCTGCAATGCTGCACACATTGCACCAGCTGCATACTACAGAAGCAATGATTTTGAGACAATATTTATTGTTTTAACACTCAAAGAGCACTTAACGTGTTAAGTTAATGGTAGAGAAATCTTGATCACTTTCCAGTAGTTACAAATGATGTATCGATCTCTTCTAGTCCAGTATTTCTTAAAATTGTTACTGACACATCTAAGTTCCATTTTTGGGTATGTTTAAATTTTAAGTTGATACTCAGTATTTTGGGTAGAAATCTTATCACTGCTATGTAGCTAGGCAGCAGTATCAGCAGTATCAGTAGAAGCTACCATAATTTCGTTTTCTTCATCAGGTGTTTGAAAATGTCATTCTTCCCACTCATGCATCATGCCATGTTCAGTATGTCATGTTTCAAGTGTGCAGCTTTGATCTGGTAAGTCTTACAACATTTATCTTAAATGTCTTCTAAGTCGTCATCTTTAATCTGTTTCTTTTCTTTCCCAGGATTTTGCCAATTCATTACTTGATGTTTGCTGGAAAAAGGTAATTATTAGTACGACACAGTGAAAAGTAAACTTTGAAGCTGCAAAGTTACCTTTAGGTATAATAGACAAGACAAAAGTCGTAATTAACTTTGCTTCCAGGAAGCCCCTTACTGTAAGAAAGGAAAATGTCTTAAGTCTTCTAGTCGGCATCAAGATTCCCAGAAATCCACAGATCGATTCGTTCATAGTAAAAGCCATAGACCAGCAGGATTTTTGTTCCCTGGTACCTGAAGCCAGACGTTTCAAAATGACACTGTGAACCGTTTTTGTTATTTTTTACTGCATCATGGAGAATTTTACGTGCTGTTGAGAAATGTAAGGCATAGGATTGGTGTTCTTCGATCGCCTTCTTCTTAGCCGTCCACCGCAGAACCAGACGAATATCTAGTATTATAAAATAATAATTCAGTGTATAAAGCGTGTGGATCTTAAGCCTTGCCATAAATTCAGCTTAAAAACTATTTTTTAGATTGAAGATCCTAACACGCCATCAATCCTGAGACAGGCCTGTGCAGCGTACATCGCAAGCTTTATAGCCAGGGCTAAGTACATTCCCATTAGGTAAGACTTTTTATTTGCCATTTAATTTGTGTCTACAATCAAAGATAACAAAGTAGTGAGACAGCTATATGAAAAATTATTTTCAAAGCATTTCGACAGTTGAGGCTCTTATAGCCATAGTGTACTTGACTACAAGTCTAGATGAGTGCATGGTTTGTTGATTGTCGCTTTTGTTGTTTCGCAGCACGGTACAAACTTGTTTGGATCTTGTTGCACACTGGATTCACTGGTAAGATCAGTTTGCTGACTGTCAGTCACAATAGTGAATTTGAATGTGCTTACCCAGAGTTACAATTGTTCTCTTTCCAGTTATATTGATATGAACGATGCTGGTTGTCTGGGACCTGATGTCAGTAGATACGGACCATTTTACTCAGTTTGTCAGGTATGTTGGTTGCTGTTCACGCTCAGATCTCTACTCCCACTGAAGTGAAATGATCAGTAAGGATTGAAATAAATGTTACATTTGTAGAGAGGAAGCCACATCAGCCGGCTGCTTTTAGTACACTTCTTCTATCCGGGTCGAATTAGAATTTGGAAATGCTGGATATAAAACTCGCAATTTTGTTATTGTTGTCAGTTGCTGAAATAAAATTTTTAACTTTAAAGCCATGTGCTGTAAACACTTAATTGATATAAATCAAACCTTTTTTGTTACATGTACTTGTTCAACACAGGTTCTTCAACACTGAGTTTTGTCCACAATCTGATTCACTTTCAGGCACTTTTCTACATGTTCATTTTTCGGCACAAGCAGTTACTCGACCTTGAAGAAGGTGGGACGATTGCTACTTGATAATGATGGACGATCTCGCTTGTTCTCAAAATTGGTTTCATTGAACTAAAAACAAAAGAATGATATCAATAATTTAAGCCGTCTTTTCGTTCAAAGTAAATGCCCTCTTTCTTCCTTTACAGGATTGAAGTACTTAAGAAGATTGAACCTAGATAGAATTGTTACTTGTCGAATGAATCCACTGAAGGTCAGATTGTCATTGTTTTGTCTTTGTTTATTCACCACCAAACTCCATCCGTAAAAATCCAGAAATTTCAGTCCATATTAATGTTTTGAGTCACTGTAAAACAAAGCATAATGTTTTACACTAACACCGTCAGCCACCATCATTCCTCCAAGCAACCACAGGCGTCAATGATACTGCTTTTGCCTTCGTTAAATCTTATAATCTTAAAGATTGTGCTTTTTCTTTTTTTTCCCTCAGGTTTGCTTGCCAACGGTTGTTAAAATGTTTGCTCACATCACAAGGTAAAGTGACTGGTTTTTCTGGCAATCTATTCTGGCAGCTCATTTTTCTATTCTGTTCGCGGCGCAATAAGACAACAAAATAGCAGAATTACCTTGTTTTATTTTCAATCCACAATATTCAATTTTATGCCAAGATTAGCGCATTGTGTTATTTGGCATATTTGGGTTTGTTATTGTGAATGACAAAGTGATAAAGGCACTTCCATTTGGGTTGTAATTCATGAACATTTTTGTTCCACAGGCAACATGAGCTCGTCTTCTGCTACACGATCATTGAACAAAATAACAGAATGATGTTGCCAGTGGCAACGCCAACATCGAGCCGTGCGGTGTTAAACTTGTCTTTCATGAATCAACTGGACTCCTTCTTTCCTTTTGATCCATATCTTTTGAGAAGGCAAGTACATCTAATAACGAAACGTTTCACTCACCCGGCCTTGTTTTGAAACACATGCCTCTAAGCCTGGTCTACACCAGCAATTTTTGTTTGACAACTCTTGTGATAAATATGTTTGCTGAAAAGTTGTTCCATACGAAAAGTTGCACGTGTAGACAGCTCGTCACATAAAATATGGCACACATATTTTTCTGGAGCGACTAAGCATTAGTAAGCAGTCCGCCATGTTTCTGCGTATCTCTGCTGTCCAAAGTCGTCACTGGCGCACTAAACTTTGAACTGTTGACAAATATATGCTGTTCCATCTACACGATAAAATGTATTAATCATGTTTTATCATTTTCTTAACTTTTGTGACCGCAGATCAAGCAAGTTTATCAAGTCATGCTATCAAGAATGGGAGGGCATCGAAGAAGACGAGGTAGATGAGGATGAAAAGAAGCATTCAGAAGGAGAGGTAACATGTTTGTTTTAGATTTCCATTTGCTGAGTATTTTCAGTATGAGTTGGAGATGACCGAAGTGTGTACTTCACTTCAAGTAGTGCTGACCGGCACTCCACGTTATCTCCATCTTTGTGCGCGTATCGTTGTTCGTCGTATGTTTTGCTATTACTGTTTTTAGAATGCTTGGTAAATGCGCATCATTTCAACCCTAATTTAACACTTGTCAGCCCTAAACCTGTGGCCTTGTTCCCGTAATATGAAATCATGTAATAATAAAAAGAAATTGAGTACAAATTATAAGCGAAAGGAGACTACGACGTTTCGAAGTCAGCTTGACTCGCACTTTAACATAATCTTACGCCTTTCACATTACATTGGTATAAATTTACATCTGGACCGTTATTTTCTACTTAGTAATGAAGTCAAGACGGCTTCGAAACATCGTAGTTTCCCTTCGCTTATTTTTGTAATCAAATATATTTGAAAATGTTTCCTCATCAGAATAATAAAACAACCAAACAAATGACATTTTATCTGTCAGGATGAGGCTGAAGAATACTTGGAATACAGCAGAAGCCCAGATGCAACAGTACCGGGATTCACTCCTGACACACCCATGTGTGTCTCTCCTGGCTTCATCTCCTCGCCTATCACACACTTAACAGTTCAAGTGAATGCTGTGAACAGATCACGAAGATAGAGCGCTCAGTGGTACACCGGTTCCAGTGCACTGGTCAGAGACAAGAGACCTATGAACCTCATTCTGGATTGAACCTTGCTACATTTACATCACTGCAAAATTCAAGTATTCAGTTTGGTCAGTCAGTCATTGCAACAACGAATCAGGAATGATGCAAACGTGCTTCTGGGCCCAATATCTTGAGTTGACTTCGTACCAAAGTGAAACCAATACCTTAACTTGCCAGACTTTCAGATTATTATAGTGACTTCAATGATGTTCAACACATGACGAAGAGAGCTGTATGGTTTTGGTAGGACCTCATACTTACTGTAGAACAGCCGCATAAACACAGCTGACAGAGAAAGTTACAAGAAGAAAACACCAAAGACACTCTCAAATTCACGGCATGTTTTTAATGTGTTTGCAAGAACAACCAAGCGTTATAAAATTAAATAACCCAACAATCAGCAACATTTTCATTAATGATAATAACTTGTCAGTCCGTCTATAGACTCTTCAACAATTTTTTGGCCTCCTCCTGTGCCTGTAAATACAAACAAGAGTAGAATGACACGATGTTCCCGGGTTGTTGTACAATACTATAAAAATTAAAACAATGTTTAGGTGTGACACCGGAAGGAGAGCTGCAGAGCAGATTCTGTACGGTGCTGTTATGATCTGTCCTTCAACACTCCAGTTAGTCCAGTCAACTGACTACAGGGAGAATGAGTCAATCAATATGTATTTTACAAGAGAAGTTATCAAATAAGACCGTGACATTGAGAATTTAATTAGATTACTTCAAAAGTTAAATGCATGTGAAAAGAGAACTCAGTGAGTGTAAAGGAACGTTATTGTAACAAAACCAACATAAGCAGCCTTTTTTTCTTAATTTAATTACTTTTTTACTATTAGTTATTAGTCGTTTTAGCTGACGAATTTTTAACCGTGTTGAAGGGGCGTCCCTCATCAAGAACTAACAATGTACGTACCATCTCATCATCAACTGTTATACCCGGATTACTGTTCGCCGCCTTTTCAAGCCACAGTTTTGCTTCCTCCTTCTTGTTTTCTCGTAGAAACGTTTTTCCCAGCAACAGATGATTCTTACTGAAGAAGTTTGGTTGTACTAAAGTAAACATTAATCAAAATTTGATCATCAAATCGAGAACTTAACATCTTCAATCTTGAATTCTTCATTTAAATATGGAAAGTTGAACAGAGTTAACATCTGAACAAATACCACTTAGACTGTAATCATCAATTGCGTACTTACATTCTTCAGCTTTCTTAAAATGTCCCAAAGCCTATGGTAAACAAACAAAACTGATTTTGTGAACAACAGCTCAATGAGCAGAAGCAAGGATAGAGCTGACGTTGTTATGAAAATAAACCTTGCTGTTTTTCAAATGTGAAAACTCTTGTTATCACGTTGAAAACAATAGATTCTCGATGCAGACTTGAATTTCCGGTAACTCGAATCTCGCGCAAACTCGTACCAAAAAGGATTTCCCCTGGATTTGTATCTTACATTAGCTGTTGGTAATTTTACCCTCGGGAACTCGAACTTGAACCTCGCTTGTCAAAGTCTAAAATAGCTCTCCAGAATCATCCACAGAAATATCCTGAGTGTAAAGCGTCATATTTGTGACAAGAATAACTCTTTACGACTGTGCTCAAGGTAATACACTATGGCAATTTTGTGCTGTTTTGCGTTATTTTGTTTTATTCCCTTTAGATCTGTTACGTTTGCAGCGTCGTTCCAGTTTTACTCGTTCTCTGTCTGAATAAACCCTGTTGAATCGCGCACTGATTATTGTTCCCATCTCCCGGTAGCTCGAACTTTTCTTGATTTTCCTTGAAGGTTTCAGTCACCGAGAATCAATTGTAACATCACAAGGTCAAGCCAACCTTACTTTCAAGTAAATCGGCAGTTCAAGTGATTGGTGGGCCAAAACTTCAAGAGCATGAACATATAACGATAGAGATTGAGGAAAAAAAAGCTATTAAGAATGTAATACTAAACGTTTTCAATCATCATGATTAACTTGAAAAGTGTAGTTGCTTAACCATTTAAAATCTTGTAGAGAGACGTGGTGTTGTACACAAGAACAATCAGCGGAAAAGTTGGCCTGAGTTACAGCTGTTCTCCCTGAAAGAAAGATCGCTCTCTTCGATTTTTTTTCTTTCTTGGAGGGCGGCTGTAACACAGGTTACGGAAAAGTAGCAGGCAATCAACATTGTATTTTCTGTGTTCGTTCAGTGCTTAAAAAATCATGCACTGTGCAGACAGAATTATTTCAGTAAAGTTGTGAAGGTTATTACTCAGTTATTACTTGACCTGAACAAAAGCTCACTCGGACCAGAGTTTGTTTGTCAGTCATGAGATTAGCAGCTTTACATTGTTGTCACCAACATCGATTAAAGGTTCCTGATGTACGACTGCTAAGCTAACCCAACTATTTCACTCCAATTAAGATTCTCAGGTGATGTCAGATTTCACGTGGAACAAAGACTTTTAACTGGCTGCCTGGCATTTTTAACTCGTAAGTTATTTCGGGTAGCTAACGCCCCTATCATTTTTGTTCTCACTCTATAACATTGTAATTTTTAACTCTGGGTGAAATAAAAAGTTGCTGTTGTTGTTGTTGTTGTTGTTGTTGTTGTTGTTGTTGTTGTTGTGATGTCAATGGTCCTTTTCGAAACCAGATATCTAGTAATAGCGTTTTAAAGCAGTTTTTACCTCCTCGTATGAAGATTCCGGCGGGTCAGCAAAGATAGTAGCGGCAATTTGCCTTTGGTACCAGGGCATGTCAGCGAAAGTAAAACACCTAAAGTCCAGGTTGAAAAAATTAAAATTAATCAACCAAAGCTTGAAATACTAATTTTCATATTTGATCCTGACCCAGTTATTTCAACTATTTTGAAACTTAAAACTCATCCACGGACCTTGTTGGAATATTCACGCACTTCTAAGAGGATCATGGCAAATTAATTAAACATTTTTTTTTGTTTTAAATTTCGATTTACTTACTAATGATTGTGTAATATCATTTTTCACGGTTATTTAATCTTACTCAGTTGCCTCATAATATAATGCGACGTGAATATGAGGCCATATTTCGGCCAATTTTGTAATTTCTGCCCGAACTTGTTTGGCATTCACGCCGTTGGATTTTCTCCTAATGCAAATAAGGAAAATTAACCACGAAAGATCTCTTGACAAATTTGTTAACACAACTTGCTGTAAAAAATCGTGAACGTGTTCAGCTGATAGGCGGCTTGCGAGAACTTTTCCGCGATGAGGATGTATGAGCTGTAATTAAACGTGTTTTACTCTTGAAAGTAATGATTTGTTTTTTGTTTACGAGAGGTTGATTGTCCGATATGTATGATAAATAATGACAGAAAGTTTTGCGACCCGTGATTCCCCACACTGTCCATCACGTAATCTGGTTCTTCTACAACATTAAACATCCTTAGTCCAGCTGATCGATCATCACCACTCTAATTATTATGAAACAAGAAGATGCACACTTCTGCCAGTTTCAGGTCAATAAGACTCTTAAAGAGATGAATCAATAATATTATTTCAACATTAAAAACGAAGTTACCTACCAGAGACCAAGTAAATGCTGGGAAGTGGGATCCGTTGGATTCAATTCAATTGCCTTCTGTAAAGATAAAGCTTTTGAATTATCCATAAGAATGCTAGCTCGGAACATGGCGGCCTATCGTGGACGTATCTAGCCATTGGCTACAGAGTCAATGGTGATATTCCTTAAGAACCATTTTCAGTGGAGCAGTAAATAAAGCTGGACAAAATGATTTATGGGAACAAGTCTCTTGAAAGGGAACATCTCATGTGGAGAGTGTTTATCGTTCCAGTCCATTCCCATGATCAATGGATTTAGCACCACCCACCAACCCCCCCCCCCCCCCCCNGCACACTGGATTCACTGGTAAGATCAGTTTGCTGACTGTCAGTCACAATAGTGAATTTGAATGTGCTTACCCAGAGTTACAATTGTTCTCTTTCCAGTTATATTGATATGAACGATGCTGGTTGTCTGGGACCTGATGTCAGTAGATACGGACCATTTTACTCAGTTTGTCAGGTATGTTGGTTGCTGTTCACGCTCAGATCTCTACTCCCACTGAAGTGAAATGATCAGTAAGGATTGAAATAAATGTTACATTTGTAGAGAGGAAGCCACATCAGCCGGCTGCTTTTAGTACACTTCTTCTATCCGGGTCGAATTAGAATTTGGAAATGCTGGATATAAAACTCGCAATTTTGTTATTGTTGTCAGTTGCTGAAATAAAATTTTTAACTTTAAAGCCATGTGCTGTAAACACTTAATTGATATAAATCAAACCTTTTTTGTTACATGTACTTGTTCAACACAGGTTCTTCAACACTGAGTTTTGTCCACAATCTGATTCACTTTCAGGCACTTTTCTACATGTTCATTTTTCGGCACAAGCAGTTACTCGACCTTGAAGAAGGTGGGACGATTGCTACTTGATAATGATGGACGATCTCGCTTGTTCTCAAAATTGGTTTCATTGAACTAAAAACAAAAGAATGATATCAATAATTTAAGCCGTCTTTTCGTTCAAAGTAAATGCCCTCTTTCTTCCTTTACAGGATTGAAGTACTTAAGAAGATTGAACCTAGATAGAATTGTTACTTGTCGAATGAATCCACTGAAGGTCAGATTGTCATTGTTTTGTCTTTGTTTATTCACCACCAAACTCCATCCGTAAAAATCCAGAAATTTCAGTCCATATTAATGTTTTGAGTCACTGTAAAACAAAGCATAATGTTTTACACTAACACCGTCAGCCACCATCATTCCTCCAAGCAACCACAGGCGTCAATGATACTGCTTTTGCCTTCGTTAAATCTTATAATCTTAAAGATTGTGCTTTTTCTTTTTTTTCCCTCAGGTTTGCTTGCCAACGGTTGTTAAAATGTTTGCTCACATCACAAGGTAAAGTGACTGGTTTTTCTGGCAATCTATTCTGGCAGCTCATTTTTCTATTCTGTTCGCGGCGCAATAAGACAACAAAATAGCAGAATTACCTTGTTTTATTTTCAATCCACAATATTCAATTTTATGCCAGAAAACTTTCGGAAGAACACGGAGTGTGAACTTTGGTTTTAAACTCATTGATTGGAAAAGTCGTACAACCATCCCTTAGGAAACATATTTTTTTTGACCAATCAGGAGCAAAATTAATTTTTCCCGCGCTCGGCACAGATCAGGGATTATAGGGTTTTACTTGAGTTCTGAAAAGAGTTTATCCAAATAATCTCTTGGTTCTGATTAGCGCATTGTGTTATTTGGCATATTTGGGTTTGTTATTGTGAATGACAAAGTGATAAAGGCACTTCCATTTGGGTTGTAATTCATGAACATTTTTGTTCCACAGGCAACATGAGCTCGTCTTCTGCTACACGATCATTGAACAAAATAACAGAATGATGTTGCCAGTGGCAACGCCAACATCGAGCCGTGCGGTGTTAAACTTGTCTTTCATGAATCAACTGGACTCCTTCTTTCCTTTTGATCCATATCTTTTGAGAAGGCAAGTACATCTAATAACGAAACGTTTCACTCACCCGGCCTTGTTTTGAAACACATGCCTCTAAGCCTGGTCTACACCAGCAATTTTTGTTTGACAACTCTTGTGATAAATATGTTTGCTGAAAAGTTGTTCCATACGAAAAGTTGCACGTGTAGACAGCTCGTCACATAAAATATGGCACACATATTTTTCTGGAGCGACTAAGCATTAGTAAGCAGTCCGCCATGTTTCTGCGTATCTCTGCTGTCCAAAGTCGTCACTGGCGCACTAAACTTTGAACTGTTGACAAATATATGCTGTTCCATCTACACGATAAAATGTATTAATCATGTTTTATCATTTTCTTAACTTTTGTGACCGCAGATCAAGCAAGTTTATCAAGTCATGCTATCAAGAATGGGAGGGCATCGAAGAAGACGAGGTAGATGAGGATGAAAAGAAGCATTCAGAAGGAGAGGTAACATGTTTGTTTTAGATTTCCATTTGCTGAGTATTTTCAGTATGAGTTGGAGATGACCGAAGTGTGTACTTCACTTCAAGTAGTGCTGACCGGCACTCCACGTTATCTCCATCTTTGTGCGCGTATCGTTGTTCGTCGTATGTTTTGCTATTACTGTTTTTAGAATGCTTGGTAAATGCGCATCATTTCAACCCTAATTTAACACTTGTCAGCCCTAAACCTGTGGCCTTGTTCCCGTAATATGAAATCATGTAATAATAAAAAGAAATTGAGTACAAATTATAAGCGAAAGGAGACTACGACGTTTCGAAGTCAGCTTGACTCGCACTTTAACATAATCTTACGCCTTTCACATTACATTGGTATAAATTTACATCTGGACCGTTATTTTCTACTTAGTAATGAAGTCAAGACGGCTTCGAAACATCGTAGTTTCCCTTCGCTTATTTTTGTAATCAAATATATTTGAAAATGTTTCCTCATCAGAATAATAAAACAACCAAACAAATGACATTTTATCTGTCAGGATGAGGCTGAAGAATACTTGGAATACAGCAGAAGCCCAGATGCAACAGTACCGGGATTCACTCCTGACACACCCATGTGTGTCTCTCCTGGCTTCATCTCCTCGCCTATCACACACTTAACAGTTCAAGTGAATGCTGTGAACAGATCACGAAGATAGAGCGCTCAGTGGTACACCGGTTCCAGTGCACTGGTCAGAGACAAGAGACCTATGAACCTCATTCTGGATTGAACCTTGCTACATTTACATCACTGCAAAATTCAAGTATTCAGTTTGGTCAGTCAGTCATTGCAACAACGAATCAGGAATGATGCAAACGTGCTTCTGGGCCCAATATCTTGAGTTGACTTCGTACCAAAGTGAAACCAATACCTTAACTTGCCAGACTTTCAGATTATTATAGTGACTTCAATGATGTTCAACACATGACGAAGAGAGCTGTATGGTTTTGGTAGGACCTCATACTTACTGTAGAACAGCCGCATAAACACAGCTGACAGAGAAAGTTACAAGAAGAAAACACCAAAGACACTCTCAAATTCACGGCATGTTTTTAATGTGTTTGCAAGAACAACCAAGCGTTATAAAATTAAATAACCCAACAATCAGCAACATTTTCATTAATGATAATAACTTGTCAGTCCGTCTATAGACTCTTCAACAATTTTTTGGCCTCCTCCTGTGCCTGTAAATACAAACAAGAGTAGAATGACACGATGTTCCCGGGTTGTTGTACAATACTATAAAAATTAAAACAATGTTTAGGTGTGACACCGGAAGGAGAGCTGCAGAGCAGATTCTGTACGGTGCTGTTATGATCTGTCCTTCAACACTCCAGTTAGTCCAGTCAACTGACTACAGGGAGAATGAGTCAATCAATATGTATTTTACAAGAGAAGTTATCAAATAAGACCGTGACATTGAGAATTTAATTAGATTACTTCAAAAGTTAAATGCATGTGAAAAGAGAACTCAGTGAGTGTAAAGGAACGTTATTGTAACAAAACCAACATAAGCAGCCTTTTTTTCTTAATTTAATTACTTTTTTACTATTAGTTATTAGTCGTTTTAGCTGACGAATTTTTAACCGTGTTGAAGGGGCGTCCCTCATCAAGAACTAACAATGTACGTACCATCTCATCATCAACTGTTATACCCGGATTACTGTTCGCCGCCTTTTCAAGCCACAGTTTTGCTTCCTCCTTCTTGTTTTCTCGTAGAAACGTTTTTCCCAGCAACAGATGATTCTTACTGAAGAAGTTTGGTTGTACTAAAGTAAACATTAATCAAAATTTGATCATCAAATCGAGAACTTAACATCTTCAATCTTGAATTCTTCATTTAAATATGGAAAGTTGAACAGAGTTAACATCTGAACAAATACCACTTAGACTGTAATCATCAATTGCGTACTTACATTCTTCAGCTTTCTTAAAATGTCCCAAAGCCTATGGTAAACAAACAAAACTGATTTTGTGAACAACAGCTCAATGAGCAGAAGCAAGGATAGAGCTGACGTTGTTATGAAAATAAACCTTGCTGTTTTTCAAATGTGAAAACTCTTGTTATCACGTTGAAAACAATAGATTCTCGATGCAGACTTGAATTTCCGGTAACTCGAATCTCGCGCAAACTCGTACCAAAAAGGATTTCCCCTGGATTTGTATCTTACATTAGCTGTTGGTAATTTTACCCTCGGGAACTCGAACTTGAACCTCGCTTGTCAAAGTCTAAAATAGCTCTCCAGAATCATCCACAGAAATATCCTGAGTGTAAAGCGTCATATTTGTGACAAGAATAACTCTTTACGACTGTGCTCAAGGTAATACACTATGGCAATTTTGTGCTGTTTTGCGTTATTTTGTTTTATTCCCTTTAGATCTGTTACGTTTGCAGCGTCGTTCCAGTTTTACTCGTTCTCTGTCTGAATAAACCCTGTTGAATCGCGCACTGATTATTGTTCCCATCTCCCGGTAGCTCGAACTTTTCTTGATTTTCCTTGAAGGTTTCAGTCACCGAGAATCAATTGTAACATCACAAGGTCAAGCCAACCTTACTTTCAAGTAAATCGGCAGTTCAAGTGATTGGTGGGCCAAAACTTCAAGAGCATGAACATATAACGATAGAGATTGAGGAAAAAAAAGCTATTAAGAATGTAATACTAAACGTTTTCAATCATCATGATTAACTTGAAAAGTGTAGTTGCTTAACCATTTAAAATCTTGTAGAGAGACGTGGTGTTGTACACAAGAACAATCAGCGGAAAAGTTGGCCTGAGTTACAGCTGTTCTCCCTGAAAGAAAGATCGCTCTCTTCGATTTTTTTTCTTTCTTGGAGGGCGGCTGTAACACAGGTTACGGAAAAGTAGCAGGCAATCAACATTGTATTTTCTGTGTTCGTTCAGTGCTTAAAAAATCATGCACTGTGCAGACAGAATTATTTCAGTAAAGTTGTGAAGGTTATTACTCAGTTATTACTTGACCTGAACAAAAGCTCACTCGGACCAGAGTTTGTTTGTCAGTCATGAGATTAGCAGCTTTACATTGTTGTCACCAACATCGATTAAAGGTTCCTGATGTACGACTGCTAAGCTAACCCAACTATTTCACTCCAATTAAGATTCTCAGGTGATGTCAGATTTCACGTGGAACAAAGACTTTTAACTGGCTGCCTGGCATTTTTAACTCGTAAGTTATTTCGGGTAGCTAACGCCCCTATCATTTTTGTTCTCACTCTATAACATTGTAATTTTTAACTCTGGGTGAAATAAAAAGTTGCTGTTGTTGTTGTTGTTGTTGTTGTTGTTGTTGTTGTTGTTGTTGTTGTTGTTGTTGTTGTGATGTCAATGGTCCTTTTCGAAACCAGATATCTAGTAATAGCGTTTTAAAGCAGTTTTTACCTCCTCGTATGAAGATTCCGGCGGGTCAGCAAAGATAGTAGCGGCAATTTGCCTTTGGTACCAGGGCATGTCAGCGAAAGTAAAACACCTAAAGTCCAGGTTGAAAAAATTAAAATTAATCAACCAAAGCTTGAAATACTAATTTTCATATTTGATCCTGACCCAGTTATTTCAACTATTTTGAAACTTAAAACTCATCCACGGACCTTGTTGGAATATTCACGCACTTCTAAGAGGATCATGGCAAATTAATTAAACATTTTTTTTTGTTTTAAATTTCGATTTACTTACTAATGATTGTGTAATATCATTTTTCACGGTTATTTAATCTTACTCAGTTGCCTCATAATATAATGCGACGTGAATATGAGGCCATATTTCGGCCAATTTTGTAATTTCTGCCCGAACTTGTTTGGCATTCACGCCGTTGGATTTTCTCCTAATGCAAATAAGGAAAATTAACCACGAAAGATCTCTTGACAAATTTGTTAACACAACTTGCTGTAAAAAATCGTGAACGTGTTCAGCTGATAGGCGGCTTGCGAGAACTTTTCCGCGATGAGGATGTATGAGCTGTAATTAAACGTGTTTTACTCTTGAAAGTAATGATTTGTTTTTTGTTTACGAGAGGTTGATTGTCCGATATGTATGATAAATAATGACAGAAAGTTTTGCGACCCGTGATTCCCCACACTGTCCATCACGTAATCTGGTTCTTCTACAACATTAAACATCCTTAGTCCAGCTGATCGATCATCACCACTCTAATTATTATGAAACAAGAAGATGCACACTTCTGCCAGTTTCAGGTCAATAAGACTCTTAAAGAGATGAATCAATAATATTATTTCAACATTAAAAACGAAGTTACCTACCAGAGACCAAGTAAATGCTGGGAAGTGGGATCCGTTGGATTCAATTCAATTGCCTTCTGTAAAGATAAAGCTTTTGAATTATCCATAAGAATGCTAGCTCGGAACATGGCGGCCTATCGTGGACGTATCTAGCCATTGGCTACAGAGTCAATGGTGATATTCCTTAAGAACCATTTTCAGTGGAGCAGTAAATAAAGCTGGACAAAATGATTTATGGGAACAAGTCTCTTGAAAGGGAACATCTCATGTGGAGAGTGTTTATCGTTCCAGTCCATTCCCATGATCAATGGATTTAGCACCACCCACCAACCCCCCCCCCCCCCCCCNCACCCACACACAGTCCCCTTTGTTCTGCACTCAGCTCATCCACTGCACAATATTGCTAGGCTTAAATTGTTTGTTATACTATCTAGGTGAAGTTCATACTCTAGTCCCTCCTAACAGTTTTCTGTGACTTTATGAGATGTCATTGCAGTCTCTTGGCACTGCTCTGTCTATCCTTCTCTGGGTTTTGTCACTATGTCAGCAATATTTTATCACTGGGCATGTTTTGCAGGTCACACCAATCAACATAAATCTTGTTTTGGTCAAACATAAAAACCTTGCACTACAACGAACCCTATACAAGGTTGCACAACAACATATATTCTGTAAATTAATGTTCAGTTAGATAAAGTACCTAAAAAATGGAAAGTATGGACACTAATGGATCTCGCTTCCTGTGACTTAAAAAAATACATATTTTTAAAACAATGTTGAATTATACATTAGTGTGCATGCATTACATGCGTATGTTGTAATGTAGTGTTTGTGGTCTTTAATAAACAAATAAAAAATGCATTAATAAGCATGTATCATCAAGGTATGTTTGGAGAACTCAAGAGAAGCGTAAAAGTTACTTGAGGCACTGCCAATCAAGAGCTACTCTGGCTTCTAGAGTGATCTCTGAACTTGCCAACTACACCATAGCTCATTGACTCACAGCTACAAACGTACACCAATTGGTTTATAACATCGTCAATAGCAATGTCATTGCAAAGTCAACTTTAAACTACGAGTAGTCCCTCTTTCACTTAGTCAGTTGTGCGTGATGTGAAAGAAAACCACGAGAAAAACGTGGCCGCACGAAATCCTGGAGGTGAGGAACCCATTTTTCTCACAGTTTTCTTTCGCGTCATGCATGATGGACTAAGCGAAAGAGAGACTAATCATAGTCTAAGTCAACTTTGCTGACACCATGTACGTGCACCATTGGATTATGATGCAAGTTTACATATACTGAGTTTGATAGCACAGCCTTGCTAGCTGTGTTGTGTCTTACCTCAAAATGTTCCTTCATGATCTTTGCATTTTCTAATTTAGCTTTTGTTCCTTCATAGTCACCAACAATGGAAAGGGCAATGGCATACCACTGTGGGAGAAAACAGAGAAACTTCATTTTCTATTTCATCAGGGCTTTGATTTTACATTATTTCTATTAATTGCTTCAAAGGATTGGTTGTATCAAGTCTATCAATGATGGAGGCAAAACACTAATCATTATGTCAGGAGTACCTCTACAGCCAGATGACTCCAAATAAACTCCTGACTTTAATGGGATAAACACCAGCATGATGTCTAGGATAATTTAAATTTTAAGGAAATTAAAAGATTACTTATCACCAAGGAGTGTTTAAAAACTTTCTTTTCAACAGTTCAACTGCCTCCACATTCCAATATAGAGATAGTGATTACGTGTCTTTTTAGAAACTTGAATTAAGTTCCTAGATTAAGGTCCTGGATTGATACTATTTTATATGATTGTATATATTTCAATTAATATATTTTAGTTCAGTATTATACAATGAGAGTTTTATTTATTTTATTTTTATTTTACTTTATTAAGTTTTTTGGCTTAGCTCTTTAACATGTAGTGCCATATTAGAGAAAGGATCCACATATAGTAATTTGAAGTATTGGCAAGGATTATCATTATGATTGGCACCAATTAACTGAAAGTGAAAGTTATATGGAAGGCTAAAACGTATCACCAACCTTATGACAAGCAAAGTTCTTGTCATCAAGCCTCAAAGCAAGTTCAGCATGTTCCAGAGCTTTATATGTCAATCGTTTCTTTGTGTCTTTATCTTTGTTATTTTCTGCCAGCACTCTACATGATCTAGCTAATCTCCACTCTATCTCAGCATTTTGTGAATCTTTGTGTTTGAGAAGTAGATCGTACTGTTCTTGTATTTTGTTGTCATCATATAATTCATCTGCTGTCTTTATATCAAGTTCTAACTGACTCATTTTTATTGATTCTGATGTAGCAGAAGTTTGTGCTTCCTGAGGTTTGGATGCTCCCCACCAACCAAGAGCAAGCAATGGAGGAACGGATCGAGATTTTGTCACCAGCTGGGTACATAGTATGTAAACCTACAACAAAGATATATCTAAAAATTATTAGACAATAGCTGTGTTCACAATAGGCCTAAACATCATGTCTAGTCTGATCACTAATGAAACATGTTTCA